GCCAACACATCAAAATTCGCGAGAGCATAATTTTGTCAATATTCCATCAAATTTTGTACTTTTTGTTTTATTACCTTCAGAAATAGATTCTCTACCATTTCATAAGAAAAATAACAAAATTATTTTTTGAAAATTCTTGGACCCTGGTGCACACTTTGAAACTTGGCCTCTGGACCCTGAAAGGGTTAAATAATAATCATGTCAATATAATCGATATATGCTTATTCTCAATATCTGTATTTATCTCATGTTAATCACTCCATTGTGGACGCCTAAGGTTAAGTCAAAATTGTATGTCTTCTCAACAAAACTTATTAAAGCCATGTAGCATGACATAATAGAATACTCAGTTCTCTTATATTCATTGTAACTCACCTAATGACCATATGTACTGTTATTGTCTTATTTATCTTAAGTTAATTTTAAGTTTGCTCGAAATACTCTGCATATACAGGGGCTTTTGACATGTACATCCAGGTATTATGTTCCTTTGCATAAACATATATCATGGCAAAATAAAATATTAGTATTATTAACACAGTTTTTTTTTCTTTTTTCTTGTTAACATGTGGGCTGTTTCCCACCGAGGCAGGGTGACCCAAAAAGAAAGAAAAAACTTTCATCATCATTCAACACTTTCACCATCACACGTACATAATCACTATCTTTGCAGAAGCACTCAGATAAGACAGCCTAGACATCCTTCTAAATTGCCATTATCCCAACCCCCTCCTTTAACGTGCAAGCATTGTACTTCCCATTTCCATGACTCAAGTCCAGCTAACTGGTTTTCCTGAATCCCTTCACAACATATTGCCCTTTTCACACTCCAACAGTTCGTCAGGTCCCAAAGATCATTCCTCTCCATTAACTCCTATCTAACATGCTCATGCACGCTTGCTGGAAGTCCAGGCCCCTCTCCCACAAAACCTCCTTTATCTCCTCCCTCCAACCTTTTTAGGGATGATCCCTACCCCGCCTTCCTTTCCCAACAGATTTATACTCTCCTAGTCATTCTGCTTTGTCCCATTCTCTCTAAATGACCAAACCACCTCAACAGCCCCTCTTCAGCCCTCTGACAAATACTTTTAGTAACTCCACACCTTGTAATTTCCACACTACGAATTCTCTGTATAATATTTACACCACACATTGCCCTTAGACATGATATCTCCACTGCCTCCAGCCACCTCTTGGCTGCAGCATTTACAACCCATATTTCACATCCATATAAGAGTGTTGGTACCACTATACTCTCGTGCATTCCCTTCTTTGCCTCCATAAATAACATTGTTTCCACAGTTACCTTAATGCACCACTCACCCTTTTTCCTTCATCATTTCTGTGGTTAACCTCATCCTTCATAAACCTATCTGCTGACAACTCAACTTCCAAATATTTGAAAACATTTACTTCTTACATTCTCCCTCCCTCCAATGTGATATCCAGTTTTTCTTTAAATAGTTTGATACCCTCATCACCTTACTCTTATCTATGTTCACTTTCAACTTTCTACCTTTACACACCCTCCCAAACTTGTCCACTATCCTTTGCAACATTCTTTTTAGAATCCCCCAAGAGCACAGTATCATCAGCAAAAAGTTACTGTGTCAACTCCCATTTTGTATTTTATTCCCCATAATTTAATCCCACTCCTCTGCCCAGCACCCTAGCATTTACTTCTTTTGCAACCTCGTCTATGAATATGTTAAACAACCATGGTGACATTACACATCCTTGTCTAAGACCTACTTTAACATAGGTGTGTCAGTTATGTTTGTTATACAGCCTCTCCTCACTTAAGGATGGAGTTTCATTCCTAAGACCATGTTGGTAAATGAATTTGTCACTAAGCAAGGAGCATGCTATAATGGTAGTGGGTTTATGTCATCCATCTTTGATATTGTTTTAATGTCATCTTTGCACCATTTATAACACTTTTAGTATATTTTTAAATTTCTATTCAGTAGTTTACAGTATATTTTAATAAACAGAATAGAGTAAATCAGCTCTAATATACATTATTTAGGTATGCATACTGATCAGAGAGCCCTTTGTAAGGCTGAGTCATAGGTAAACAAGCATGTCACTAAGTGAGGAGAGACTGTATTCTGCTTTAATTAAATGTAACTTATGTATGTTAAATGTTTGTTGTATTCCAGTAATGCTTTAGTTATATCTCTGTTAGAATTTAATATTGTAATTTTCTTTTTGTTTAAGGTTATTGTTGCAAGTTTGCTTTATAATATAATCAACAGGTTTTTGACTTGTAAATGTCAGTGTATTGAGTTCAGGATCACATTTAGTAAGCACTGAGAAAGAGAGTAAATTGAAATGAAAAATGGTAACAAGTATTCTTGTATACCTAAGTTAATAATATCCTGCTTATGGTCAGTTGCTTGTTAGCATGTTAGTATAAAGAAAATATTTTTATTCAGGATGTGCATGTTTATAGAGGGGCCACAGATATATCAGATCACTTTTAAGTTGTAGCTAGAGTTAGAGTAAAAGGTAGATGGGATACAAAGAAAATAGAATCAGCAAGTAAGAGAGAGGTGAAGGTATATAAACTAAAAAAGGAGGCAGTTAGGGTAAGCTATAAATGACTATTGCTAGATAAATGGGCTAGTAAGAGTATAAGCAATGGGGTCAAAGATGTATGGGGTAGGTTTAAGAATGTAGTGTTAGTGTTCAGCAGAAGTTTGTGGTTACAGGAAAGTGGTTGCGGGAAGGAAGAGGAGTGATTGGTGGAATGATGATGTAAAAAGAGTAGTAAGGGAGAAAAAGCTAGCATATGAGAAGTTTTTACAAAGTAGAAGTGATGCAAAGAGAGAAGAGTATATGGAGAGAAAAAGAGAGGTTAAGAGAGTGGTGAAGCAGTGTAAAAAGAGAGCAAATGAGAGAGTGGGTGAGATGTCAACAAATTTTTTTGAAAATAAGAAAAAGCTTTGGAGTGAGATAAATAAGTTGAGGAAGCCTAGGGAACAAATGGATTTTACAGTTAAAAATAGGAGAGGAGAGTTATTAAGTGGAGAGTTAGAGGTATTGGGAAGATGGAAGGAATATTTAGAGGAATTGTTAAATGTTGATGAAGATAAGGGAAGCTGTGATTTTGTGTATAGGGCAAGGGGGAATAACTTCTTGTAGGAATGAGGAAGAGCCAGTTGTGAGTGTAGAGGAAGTTCATGAGGCAGTGGGTAGAATGAAAGGGGGTAAGGCAGCTGGGATTGATGGGATAAAGATAGAAATGTTAAAAGCAGGTGGGAATATAGTTTTAGAGTGGTAGGTGCTATTATTTAGTAAATGTATGAAAGAGGGTAAAGTACCTAGGGATTGGCAGAGAGCATGCATAGTTCCTTTGTATAAAGGCAAAGGGGACAAAAGAGAGTGCAAAAATTATAGGGGAAGAAGTCTGTAGAGTATACCTGGTAGTGTATGATAGTCATTATTGAAGGATTTAAGAGTAAGACAGAGTAGGATAGCAGATGAACAAGGAGGCTTTAGGAAGAGTAGGGAGTATGTAGACCAAGTGTTTACAGTGAAACATATAGGTGAACAGTATTTAGATAACCGTAAAGAGGTTTTTGTGACATTTATGGATTTGGAAAATGCGTGTGACAGAGTGGATAGCGGGGCGATGTTGCAGGACGTAGGTTACTGAAAGCAGTGAAGAGTTTTTACGAGGTTAGTGAGGCTCAGGCTAGAGTGTGTAGGAGAGAGGGAGATTATATCCCAGTAAAAGCAGGCCTTAGACAAGGATGTGTGATGTCACCGTGCTTGTTCAATATATTTATAGATGGGGTTGTAAGAGAAGTGAATGCGAGGGCCTTGGCAAGATGTGTGGGGTTAAAAGATAAAGAATCTAACACAAAGTGGGAGTTGTCACAGTTGCTCTTTGCTGATGACACTGTGCTTATGGGTGATTCTGAAGAGAAGTTACAGAGGTTGGTGGGTGAATTTGGTACGGTATGTAAAAGAAGAAAATTAAAAGTGAATATAGGAAAGAGTAAGGTGACGAAGATAAAAAGATTAGGTGATGAAAGATTACATATCAGATTGCAGGGAGAGAGTATGGAGGAGGTGAATGTATTCAGATATTTGTGAGTGGACATGTCAGCAGATGGGTCTGTGAAGGATGAGGTGAATCATAGAATTGATCAGGGGAAAAGGGTGAGTGGTGCACTTAGGAGTCTGTGGAGACAAAGAACTTTGTCCGTGGAAGCAAAGAGGGGAATGTACGAGAGTATAGTTATACCAACACTTATATGGGTGTGAAGCATGAGTGGTGAATGTTGCAACGAGGAGAAGGCTGGAGGCAGTGGAAATGTCATGTCTGAGGGCATTGTGTGCTGTGAATTTAATGCAGATTTTATTGTTTGGAAATTAGGAGGAGGTGCAAGATTACCAAAACTATTATCCAGAGGGCTGAGGAGGGGTTGCTGAGGCGGTTCAGACACATAGAGAGAATGGAAGGAAACAGAATGACTTTGAGAGTATAAATCTGTAGAGGAGGGAGGGAGGGGTAGGGATCAGCCTAAGAAAGGCTGGAGGAAGGGGAGTAAAGGAGGTTTTGTGTGCGGGGGCTTGCCCTTCCAGCAAGCATGCGTGAGCGTATTTGATAGGAGTGAATGGAGACAAATGGTTTTTAATACTTGGCGTGCTGTTGGAGTGTGAGCAAAGTATCATTTATGAAGGGATTCAGGGAAACCGACAGGCCAGACTCGAATCCTGGAGATTGGAAATACAGTGTCTGCACTCTGAATGAGGGGTGTTACTGTTGCAGTTTTATAACTGTAGTGTAAAGCACCCCCCTGAAAGACAGTGATAGAGTGAATGATGAAAGTTTTTCTTTTTCAGGCCACCCTGCCTTGGTGGGAATCGGCTGATGTGTTAATAAAAAAAAATGAATCCACTGTGCTGGAAACTATTCCTCTAATATGTGCACTCACATTTCTTTTAATTATAACTTGTTAAAACTGTAATTAATGCTTCCCAAACAGTTGCAGTGCAAGCCGTAGTGATGCTTCTGCTTCATTGGGACGGAATGAGCGAGATCACCGTATGCGAGAAAAGGAGAATAGCGAAATATCTGCCATGCAGAAACGACTAAATAAGACAAGTACTAGAGTTTCAGCTATCAACGAAGGGTCAAGGCATGGCCATGAGAAAGGGGCGGTTAAGAAGCAGCCACAGGTATTTTTCGTATTAGTCTCTTCACCGGAACTAAATCATACAGAAACAGTTTAAAGATATAATATACTCTGCAGTATAATAAAATTAGTGTGTTAGGCAATGTTATGATGAAGACATTGATGAATATTAAGTGAATGTAGAATATTTCTTGACAGCAGACATTTTATCAACAAATGCATTACTTATTCACTTGTCATTCCAGATTTTTATGTACTGGTGTGTAGGAGGTAGTTATTATGTTTACCTTGCTTTAAAGCGTTACAAAGCTTTTACTTATAAAAAAATTATTTTGTCACTTTTTTGCACAAAGAGTGTAGTTTAAGACAAATTGTTTTAAGTAAAAAGCATTGTCATACAAATGCATGGACGAGAGATTGAGAAGGCAAACATGAGAAAGAACAAGAACTGTGTAATAGAAGTGAGAGAGCCAGTGAACGTACCATACAGTCCACATCTGGGTACACATGTTTTGTATTTTATTCAACAGTACTTCATTATAGTTAAATAGTTTTCATTAAAATGAGATTGCTTCTCTCTTATTTTAATGGTGTCATTATTAATCAGTTTACTTTTCAGAGGGGCAAGGAGGAAGATACTACCTAATTATTTAGTATAGGAATGTAGAAATAAATTTTATTTCGTTTTTTAAATGTTAACTTAATTTTTTCACTTCACACAATTTTGTGTCTTCTGCTATTTTTGATAATAAAACATAAATATAGACAACTGAGTATACCTGGAGTTTATCTGGAGTTTATCGGGATCAACACTCCCACGGCCCGGTCTGTGACCAGGCCTCATGGTGGATCGGCCTGATCAACCAGGCTGTTACTGCTGGCCGCACGTAATCCAATATACGAACCACAGCCCGGCTGGTCAGGTACTGACTTTAGGTGCTTGTCCAGTGCCTATTTGAAGACAGCCAGGGGTCTATTGGTAATCCCCCTGATGCATGCTGGGAGGCAGTTGAACAGTCTTGGGCCTCTGACACTTACTGTGTTGTCTCTTATCGTGCTAGTGGTACCTCTGGTTTTCACTGGGGGGATGTTGCACCGTCTGCCGAGTCATTTGCTTTCGTAGGGAGTGATTTTCATGTACAAGTTTGGTACTAGGCCCTCTAGGATTTTCCAGGTGTATATAATCATGTTTCTCTCACTCCTGCATTTTAGGGAGTACAGGTTTAGGAACTTCAAGCATTCCCAGTAATTGAGGTGGGTTATTGCAGTTATGCATCTGTGAGTCATTGGAGAATTTACCCCATCAAACCTCAAAGAATGTGTGTCAATCACTTCCTAGACATTTAAAAGATGTCCTTAAGAATAAAGGACGACTTATTTTGTGGTCATGATTTTCGAGGGTGACAACATACTTTAATTTAATACCAAGTGCTGTAACTTATTAATTTTGTATTTGTATATGTAAAATAATGTAATTATTTTCACATAGGCTCTTTGGGAAGAAGGCAGCTCTACTATAGACCCACGAGTTTCAGAAGTGTTGGCAATGCAAGAAGAACTGAAGCAAAAGAAGAATGCTTTGGAGGCTCTCATGAAACGCATGGGAAAGTCCTCTTCACTAAACATGGACAACATATCAGACAACATCTCTGATAATGTATCTGAGACGTCTGACAGATTGGATGGTGGTAATGGTACAGCTGCCACTTGGGGTACAACTGGATTACATGACTATTCTGATAACCACTATCAACATTCTAGGTATGACTCCTACAGTGTTTACATTTGCTACATATCAAGTCCCAACCTGATCATGGTTTAGGATGTAATGAAAGGTCATCCAATGGCTTATTTTTTCAAACTCTTAATTTGCAAACTTGCAAGTTATTTGATGCATTGTAATTACAAAATCAAAGATAACGGCCCTTTTACCTCGCATATCGGTCGAAGTTGGACCGTCATAAGCTCCCCTCTCCTATGTGCAGGTTATTTGTGTAAAATGAAACATATTTTCCATATATTGGCAGACATATAAGAGATAATTCTTGTTTTTCTCAGTAGAGAAGAGATTTCTTGTTGAAGTATATTCATCTAAAAGGAGTGTAAAATTATTTAAGAAGTTAGTGTCAAAAATCCTTAGTAGTAAGGTGGTAGACAGCAACCGCCCAGGGAGGTACTACCATCCTACCAAATAAGTGTAAAACGGAAACCTGTAATTGTTTTACATGATGGTAGGATTGCTGGTGTCTTTTTCTGTCTCATAAACATGGAAGTTGTAGCTACACTGAGAGTAAAAGGTAGATGGGATACAAGGAGAATAGAAGCATCAGAGAAGAGAGAGGTGAAGGTTTATAAACTAAAAGAGGAGGCAGTTAGGGTAAGATATAAACAGCTATTGGAGGATAGATGGGCTAATGAGAGCATAGGCAATGGGGTCGAAGAGGTATGGGGTAGGTTTAAAAATGTAGTGTTAGAGTGTTCAGCAGAAGTTTGTGGTTACAGGAAAGTGGGTGCGGGAGGGAAGAGGAGCGATTGGGGGAATGATGATGTAAAGAAAGTAGCAAGGGAGAAAAAGTTAGCATATGAGAAGTTTTTACAAAGTAGAAGTGATGCAAGGAGGGAAGAGTATATGGAGAAAAAGAGAGAGGTTAAGAGAGTGGTGAAGCAATGTAAAAAGAGAGCAAATGAGAGAGTGGGTGAGATGTTATCAACAAATTTTGTTGAAAATAAGAAAAAGTTTTGGAGTGAGATTAACAAGTTAAGGAAGCCTAGAGAACAAATGGATTTGTCAGTTAAAAATAGGAGAGGAGAGTAAGATGGAGAATAGGATAGCAGATGAACAAGGAGGCTTTAGGAAAGGTAGGGGGTGTGTGGACCAGGTGTTTACAGTGAAACATATAAGTGAACAGTATTTAGATAAGGCTAAAGAGGTCTTTGTGGCATTTATGGATTTGGAAAAGGCGTATGACAGGGTGGATAGGGGGGCAATGTGGCAGATGTTGCAGGTGTATGGTGTAGGAGGTAGATTACTGAAAGCAGTGAAGAGTTTTTACAAGGATAGTGAGGCTCAAGTTAGAGTATGTAGGAAAGAGGGAAATTATTTCCCAGTAAAAGTAGGCCTTAGACAAGGATGTGTGATGTCACCGTGGTTGTTTAATATATTTATAGATGGGGTTGTAAGAGAAGTAAATGCGAGGGTCTTGGCAAGAGGCGTGGAGTTAAAAGATGAAGAATCACACATAAAGTGGGAGTTGTCACAGTTGCTCTTTGCTGATGACACTGTGCTCTTGGGAGATTCTGAAGAGAAGCTGCAGAGATTGGTGGATGAATTTGGTAGGGTGTTCAAAAGAAGAAAATTAAAAGTGAATACAGGAAAGAGTAAGGTTATGAGGATAACAAAAAGATTAGGTGATGAAAGATTGGATATCAGATTGGAGGGAGAGAGTATGGAGGAGGTGAATGTATTCAGATATTTGGGAGTGGACGTGTCAGCGGATGGGTCCATGAAAGATGAGGTGAATCATAGAATTGATGAGGGGAAAAGGGTGAGCAGTGCACTTAGGAGTCTGTGGAGACAAAGAACTTTGTCCTTGGAGGCAAAGAGGGGAATGTATGAAAGTATAGTTTTACCAACGCTCTTATATGGGTGTGAAGCATGGGTGATGAATGTTGCAGCGAGGAGAAGGCTGGAGGCAGTGGAGATGTCATGTCTGAGGGCAATGTGTGGTGTGAATATAATGCAGAGAATTCGTAGTTTGGAAGTTAGGAGGAGGTGCGGGATTACCAAAACTGTTGTCCAGAGGGCTGAGGAAGGGTTGTTGAGGTGGTTCGGACACGTAGAGAGAATGGAGCGAAACAGAGTGACTTCAAGAGCGTATCAGTCTGTAGTGGAAGGAAGGCGGGGTAGGGGTCGGCCTAGGAAAGGTTGGAGGGAGGGGGTAAAGGAGGTTTTGTGTGTGAGGGGCTTGGACTTCAAGCAGGCATGCGTGAGCGTGTTTGATAAGAGTGAATGGAGACAAATGGTTTTTAATACTTGACGTGCTGTTGGAGGGTGAGCAAAGTAACATTTATGAAGGGGTTCAGGGAAACCGGCAGGCCGGACTTGAGTCCTGGAGATGGGAAGTACAGTGCCTGCACTCTGAAGGAGGGGTGTTAATGTTACAGTGCTGGAGTGAATGATGGTGAAAGTTTTTCTTTTTCGGGCCACCCTGCCTTGGTGGGAATCGGCCAGTGTGATAATAAAAAAACAAAACAAAAAAATGCAAGATTTCTGGTATGTCTTGCTGGTTCTACTTGGGCATAGGTCACACTACACATACATGTACAAGCATATATAAACACACCCCTCGTGGTTTTCTTCTATTTTCTTGTTAGTTGTTCTTATTCTTGTTCAAATCCTCTTATCTCCATGGGAAAGTGGAATAGAATTCTTCCTCTGTAAGCCATGTGTGTTGTAAGAGGCTGCTAAAATGCCAGGAGCAAGGGGCTAGTAACCCCTTCTCCTGTATACATTACTGAAGTTAATAAGGTAATTTTTTTTTCTTTTTGGGTCGCCCTACTTCGGTTGGATATGGCCAGTTTGTTGAAAGAAGAACAATGTAAAATATTCAATAACTTTACAACACTTAAAATTTTGGAAAGTTCCCAGACACAATGGAGAGCTGCAGAGCTCATGGAGGATGTAAACAAACATTGGTGTGCGGAGGTCGTATTAGTGAGTCAAGTGGAGATGGGAGCCATATAACAAGTTTTGGTCATAATTTGAAATGATTGTATTAACAAAATGTCGTAAGGCGAAACGCTATTGAGCGGGACCCTTATGTATGGGGTATGGGTATGGGTATGAGTATGGGGTGCATAATAAACATATTAAACTAACTTCTTAGGGTCACCCTAAGGAAATGTTAAAAAAAAAAGTCTTAGCATTTTCACCATTTTTTCTTTTTAACCCTTAAACTGTCCAAACGTAGATCTACATTTTTTTCAACATTTGAAAGTATGTAAAAAAATATAGATCTTTTTTTTTTACATTTGAAAACTTGTAAAAAAACTTGATCTACTTTTTTTTTTGCTGTATTTGAAAATATGTAAAAAAAAAAGTAGATCTACTTTTGGAGCACTACGCATGTGAACGTAAATCTGTTTGGACAGTTTAAGGGTTAATATGCTAGCCGTCTCCCACTGAGGCAGGGTGACCCAAAAAAGAAACACTTTCCCCATCATTCAACACTTTTTCCATCATTCACACATAATCACTGTCTTTGCAGAGGTGTCCGAATATGACAGTTTAGATGTCACTCCAAACAGCCAGTATCTCAAGCCCCTCCTTTAAAGTGCATGTGTTGTACTTTTTACCTCCAGGACTCAAGTCCAGCTAACTGGTTTCCCTAAATCCCTTCACAAAATATTACCCTGCTCAAACTCCAACAGCTCATTAGGTCCCAAAAACCATTCATCTCCATTTACTATTATCTAACATGCTCACTCATGCCTGCTGTACGTCCAGGCTCCTTGCACACAAAACCTCTTTAACCCTTAAACTGTCCAAACAGATCTATGTTCACATGCGTAGTGCTCCAAAAGTAGATCTACGTTTTTTTTTACATATTTTCAAATATAACAAAAAACGTAGATCTAAGTTTTTTTTACACATTTTCATTTTTTTTTTTTTTCCAACAAGTCGGCCGTCTCCCACCGAGGCAGGGTGACCCAAAAAAGAAAGAAAATCCCCAAAAAAGAAAATACTTTCATCATCATTCAACACTTTCACCACACTCACACATTATCACTGTTTTTGTAGAGGTGCTCAGAATACAACAGTTTAGAAGCATACACATATAAAGATACACAACATATCCCTCCAAACTGCCAATATCCCAAACCCCTCCTTTAAAGTGCAGGCATTGTACTTCCCATTTCCAGGACTCAAGTCCGACTATATGAAAATAACCGGTTTCCCTGAATCCCTTCACTAAATATTACCCTGCTCACACTCCAACAGATCGTCAGGTCCCAAGTACCATTCGTCTCCATTCACTCCTACCTAACACGCTCACGCACGCTTGCTGGAAGTCCAAGCCCCTCGCCCACAAAACCTCCTTTACCCCCCTCTCTCCAACCCTTTCGAGGACGACCCCTACCCCTCCTTCCTTCCCCTATAGATTTATATGCTTTCCATGTCATTCTACTTTGATCCATTCTCTCTAAATGACCAAACCACCTCAACAACCCCTCTTCTGCCCTCTGACTAATGCTTTTATTATAAAAACTCCACATCTTTTCCTAATTTCCACACTGCGAATTTTCTGCATAATATTTACGTTTTCAAATGTAAAAAAAAAAAAAAATCTACATTTTTTTACATACTTTCAAATGTTGAAAAAACGTAGATCTACGTTTGGACAGTTTAAGGGTTAACCTCCTCCAAGTCAGTCTGTTTTGCTCCATCCTCTCTAAATGATCAAACTGCCTCAATAACCCCTCTTCAGCCCTCTGAATAATACTTCTAGTAACTCCACACCTCCTCCTAATTTCCACACTACGAATTCTCTGCATAATATTTACACAACGCATTGCCCTTAGATACGACATCTCCACTGCCTCCAGCCTCCTCCTCACTGCAGCATTCACAACATATGGTTCACACCCATATAAGTGTGTTGGTACCACTATACTCTCGAACATTTCCTTCTTTGCTTCTATGGATATGTTTTTTTTCTCTCCATCGACACCTCAGTGCACCATTCACTTTTTTTCCCTGCATCATTTCTGTGGTTAAGCTTGTCTTTCATAAACCCTTGTTCTAATAAATCTACTCCCAAATATCAGAACACATCA